CGAAGCACTTTTTGGTTACTAACCATGTGTCATGATGTTGGTCTGTTGTTCAAACTCCAAACTTGTCAGAAGAATTTACTTTAAGATTATCAAGAGAGCAGAAATCAGGCTTACAGGAGCAACTACGCTAGACGCACTTTGGGGCAATGATGAAAGACCTAAGGTGTCCTTCTATCTTTCAACTACTTTCTATGGGTGTCAATCAATACACGTTTGTTATAAGTGAAATGAGTCGTCTTCTACTTGCAGTAAGTAGTTGATGACCTTGGGCTTGTTGTCTAGGAGATGATGTGTCTAGTGAATGCTCTTAGCACACATTCTTAAGATGACATAACTGGGACAAGCCGACACAGACTTCAAAGTACGAAACAGTTTATTGACATCTCATCACTTACATAGAAAGTCCTGTCCGTGTCCTAATTCACAGCTTACATGCACCACACTAACACGCTGACTTCTCACACATTCATCGCCTCATAGACAGATCTGGTCATTACCACAGACTGGCCTGGCTGGGCTTGGCTTCGATGGATGTTGTCGTCTGGTCTTCCTCTCCCAACAATCAGTCTCACGTTGTCATTCTCACGAACACTCTCGCGTCCTCTCGTTCTGATGGTCAACACATACTAACACACACAAGACTGGGGTCTGAACTTATACCCAGTGTTCGTTCCACGTGGCAACACGTGGTCGTTCTTGAGTTCCACGTGGCGACCTGTGATCATTCTTCGTGGTCGTCCCCTATCTTGAAAAGCTCGGTTAATCCGAGTATCTGGCTTCTCTCGGTATTATTGTTAGCTTGGGGCTTTCCCCCAACCTTCCCAATTTGGGTGAAAATATCCCCCATTACACAAAACTACATGTGAACCGGTCTGTTGGTGACCCATGCTAGTTTAGGCACATAAGAAATGTTGATCACGAAAGAAGGAAAACAAGTTCCAGTGGGAGTCGAAAGAATGAAGTTTTAATATATTTTACCCCTTAGGGAGCCCTTTTTTAAGGGAAACAAGAATAGACCCACTGCCACATCAACCAAAAGCATTTCGTAAGAGTCGACTAACTGGGGGTTTCCTTCGAAGTCAGAGTGCATCCGCCTGACAGCAAGGAACTAACAGTCTGCACACAAAAAGTCAGATCTGTTAAACGGATGAGCATGTAACACTCAGTTCCTGGAACAAGACTAAAGTCCAGAGGTTATCGGACAACCAGAGCTTTCCGCTGGAGTTTACAGCCGGTGAACATAAAGAATGAAGAAGAATATATTAGAGCCCATTACGTGATGAGATTTTTTACTATCTAATAGTTAGATTATGAACTATCTAATAGTACTCAAGGGCGAAGACACAAACAAAACCCGGGTTCAGACTCCCATTCTCGTGTTCTGGAGGAGGGCCTCAGTGTACATTTAAATTTTTTAAATAAAGTAAAGATCCCTTTTCACGCCTTTAGACGCATCAGGTATATGGAAGAGCGCCAATATTTTTAAAGACAAATCTGCTCTAAGTGGATAATGTGGTCAACATTAAGCCGTCCGTCTTTACTTCCCTAGGACATGCCTCCTGGTACCCTTTTTAGGCTGTGTCGACCTACGAGGCCCCATACTACGATAAAAATCTACGCAGCCAACTGTGGGTTTCGATCGTGGTAAGTTGGAATTACGAGTCGGACTGGCATCGCCTAAGCCAGGGACGTCGCTATGAATTACTTAAATGCGTAGTAGTAGTAGTAGTAGTAGTAGTAGTAGTAGTAGTAGTAGTAGTAGTAGTAGTAGTAGTAGTAGTAGTAGTAGTAGTAGTAGTAGTAGTAGTAGTAGTAGTAGTAGTAGTAGTAGTCTTCATCATCAGGTGCCTTGCAGACTGGCGTGGGCGATCATGCCTCTCCATAATCTGCGATCTCCTGCAGCATGTATCAGTTCGTGTGCCGACACACCTCCATGCCATGCAACAAGACTGTCAAGCATCTTCTCTCGTTGTCTTCCTCTATCCCTTTTTCCACAGATCTTTCCAGTGGTCACAACATGTTCTATTTTCCCTCTTCTCATAACATGGCCGAAAAATGATGACTGTCTCCTTCTGATGTCTGTGATAAGTTGTCTTCTTCTTCTTCTTTTTCTTCTACTTCTACTACTGCTGCTGCTGCTGCTGCTGATACTACTACTACTAGCAGCAGCAGCAGGAGCAGGAGGAGCAGGAGCAGCAGCAGCAGCAGTAGTAGTAGTAGTAGTAGTAGTAGTAGTAGTAGTAGTAGTAGTAGTAGTAGTAGTAGTAGTAGTAGTAGTAGTAGTGTGTCAAATATAAAAATGTATTTGAATGTGCTAGCGGGAAGAAGGAAAAGGAAAACTTAGAAGAAAGGAGAGAGGACAGAGAAAATTGTTTTAAGGATAAATTGTAGCAGTTCGCCGCTGAACATCAAATACATGAAATTAGAGAAAATATAAGAGGTTCTTCTCTGCAGGGGCCTTGAAGTATTTTGCCAAAACCCGGACAAAAGATATGTGAAAAAGCTGTGTGGCAAAACAACAACATAAAGTGCATGACTAAGGCAACACTCAGACTACCACGTATGTTTTTAAAGACCAATCGACACAAAATGGCTGATGTGGTGAGCATCACGTGGACCGCCTTTACTTCCTGGGTTGCACCCGGTTCTCACATAAGGCTGAGTCGACCTTGGAGTCAAGGTAATTTTTGAAAAACGTCCGGCTTTGCCAGGGAGCGAACCCATGACCTTCCAGTCCGCACGTGAGCGTCAAGCCGCTACGCCACGGCGACTCCTAACATAATAATAGTGTTTCGACAAAACAGTCATTTTCAGACACTCAAAGGGTCATAAAGATTTTTTTTTTTTTTTTTACGTATCCAGAAACTATGAGTTGTAAACCCTTTGGCTCGGTTCTATGGATATCGCAACCCTTCGGCCTTGATTCCATTATAGGTACCGTTAATCTGGGAGAAATGTGGCTTTTCTGCCTACCCCCGGGAGTGAACCCGGACTACAAGGAGTTCGTCACCCGGCCGCCGCGAACGTCAGGTTTAACCAACTTCTGAACATCAGTAGAAGAGATCCCTCGTCTACAAATGTTACGGCCCACAAGCTCCTAGACAATTTCAGAGGGTGGGCCCACCTGAGTTCATGAAGCTCAGGCTTGATCTGCTCCTGTACGTATTACAACCGAATATTCTCGGACAGAAACAAGACGAAAATGATGACTATGCAATAGGTACTGTGAGATTCGAAGTTTATTTACACAGTCGCTGCGGTAGCTTATTAGATCAGTCAGCATATCTTGACGACCACGTGGCAAGCTTACGGTTGGTTTATTGGACACGTGTTCGATTTTGTTGGCAACTTGCAGTGAGTGGGACACCAGCAGACAAAAACTCAGAGCACACTCCTACCGCACGTGCCTCGCTGACTCTGCCACGTGCGGTTATGGTGCAGAAAAGCAAACTATAGCGCCTGGCTTAGAGATTACACAGACTGTTCGAGATAAGAAACATGGCTTTTTTTCCTCTGGAAAGACCATGTTCAGTTTGTATTTTTTAGGTCGTAATTATGGTATCTGAGGACGTTACTTGCCTTTAAAAATATTTGAGGGTTGTGGATTTTCTTCTTTTTCTTCTTCGCGTTCACCGGCTGTAAACTCCGGCGGAAAATTCAGGTTGTTTGTCCACTTCTGGACTGCAGTCCTGTTCCAGAACCTGAGTGTTGCGTGTGTATCCGATTGACAGATCTGACTAATGTATATGCAGATTGTTGGTTCCTTGCCTCTCAGGCAAATGCACTCTGACTTCGAAGGAAGCTCCCAATTAGTCAACTCATACGACATGCTTTTGGGTAGGCAGTGGGTCTGTTCTTGTTTTTCCTATAATAGGGCCCCAGAACCCACATGGGGAGAACAAGGTTGTGGTTGATTTAGCTCTTCTTTCAACATTTGTGTTTTTCCCTACTTTCTGTCTTTATCTGGTGGCTGCTTCTATATCGTCTCCTGTGCGGGTGTCTTGTTTTATGTTTCCTTTAACTATGTAAAGAAATTCTCCTTAAAAATATTTGTTTCCTCAAAATGCAAATAAATTATATTTATTTATCAATAAGCACATTATTAGTATTGTTACTATACTCTTAACCTAAGGTCATTTGGGGCTCCTCTTATAAAAAAAAAAAAATGCGGTCCAGTAGGAACCCTTGAAGCCCTCTCCTCCAAATGTTTTCTATGTCAGCGCGCTGTCTTTAACAGAAAGTGTTAAACCTATTCCTGGGTCGTTGACGAATATGCTAAGCGGGGAAAAGGGGGGCCATGCCTAGAGTGCCACAAGGATAAACAAACTAATAACTCACTTCACACCGCGTTATGCGGGAGTAAAGGGAAATGAGCGAGCGGACCAACTGTCAAGCACTGCGCTGAGGTTTGCGGGAAAAAAGCATGGACATAGCAGATATCGTCAACGCTGAACGGACTGGGCTAGTGGATAATAAGGAATCCATGACACTAACACGAATGCGTGGCATGGGAGTAAAGCATGGTGAAGCACGTCTATTCCGTCTTCGAGGCCGAGGCAGTTGACAAAATAACCAGCTTCTTATGGAAACAATTAGTAGAAGTATTTTGGAGTTGCTGCTGCATCGGAGGACTGAGCACGCATGGGAATGCCCAATGTACAGTGACGTCGATTGAGATAGCATAACTTACAAGCACATTAAGTTGATAACCAAACTCATAACTCACTTCTTACAAGCACATTAAGTTGTCAGTCATAGTAAAGTAAAAGCCCTCTTCCATAACTTCAGGTGTATTGGGCATATAGGTGAAGATCCTTTCTTCGAAGACCAGCCAGCACTTGGTGGATTGTCTGATCGGCATCACGGTGGCCGCCTTTACTCACAACATTGTGTGTTTTGTCTCTTAAAAGTGAAGATTGCAAATTTGAAGAAATTCAGGAAACAGTTTCTAACTTAAACTCCGCCGTGGGAGATTTCCAAACGGCTTTATAGGAATTACTATGGCGTCTGTTGTATTGAAAGTCTTGGGCCTAACACTCGGTCTCTTTTTCATTTTTATTGGAACTATAAAGCTGACGCCGTCTATTAATGGCGAAATTTACAAAGAAATGGTGAGATACTATAATAATTTCAATTGTAAAAATAATATGCTTGTGTACCTCGCACTAAAGATTTAGTTTTAGTTCTAAATCAAGTTGGAAACGTCAAACGAATTTCCAAATTGACCACCACTAAATTATTTTCGAAAATTGTAATTGAATTATTTAAATTATTATTACAATCATATGAATATATACGCATTAGTGCACGCAGCTGGTACTTTGCAAAAAACCGCTTTTGTCACAGCCCTCCTGAAAGTCTTTTTCAATCAGTACGGTACCTTTTCGGTGCGATTTTCTTTTTCGTTTGTCTTGAAAAACTGTTTTGACAGTTTTGTTTTATAATTAAATTATGAGGAAATTAAGACGAGTAGTTAACCAGATTACTACGGGTATTCATCAGTTTTGGAGTAAGAGGAGCTAATATGGGCTTGTCCTGAATGCTGTGATGTCGAATTTTGACCTAGATGAACCCAGATTCTTCTATAAAACATACATTTTATTACTGTTACATTCCCGTCTGGATTGGGTCCCTATTATATGGAAAACAAGAATAGATCCACTGCCTACCAAAAAGCATGTCGTAAGAGTTGACTAATTGGGAGCTTCCTTCGAAGTCGCAGTGCATCTGCTTGAGAGGCAAGGAACCAACAGTCTGCACACAAAAGTGTCAGATCTGTCAAATGGATGTACACTCAACACCCAGGTTATGGAACAGGACTGCAGTCCAGGAGTAGACGAACAACCAAAACTCTCCACCAGAGTAAACAGCTGGTGAACGCAAAGAAGAAGATTACTGTTACGCATTTTAAGAGTATTGAGTATGATAAGAGTCTTCTTTGCTTGTTGTCTAGCAGATATTGAAAAGTAGTATTAGTAATAAGAGAAATACATGGAGCAAGCTACTGAGGTTGAAGGATGCAATATAAACAATTTGCACTATGCAAACTATATAGTTTTGATAGCTGAAAATGCCACTGACTTTCATTGAATATTAAGAAAACGGAATTTGTGATTATATCAAATAAGATAACTCCACATTATGATATCTCAGTTGAAGGAAAAAGATTTAACGAAGTCAATATGTTCAAATATCAGAAGCAAACGTTAAAAAACAACAACTTGTAAACATTAAATTAAAAATAATTAAATGAGATGATTTCAAGAAAAGTTAAATAAAAGAAAATGTCTGGAGTCAGTGAATATGGACAACCATTTGCATCATCATTCTTAAGATTTGACATGCTTTGCGGGGGGGGGGGGGGGACCTCACATTTAAAAAGCATCCCCTGAAAAAGGGGGAGGTGGGCTTTTGATTATAATTGTGACTGGGTTTATATGCACCATTTAAAATGGCCTAGCATTGCTGGCCACCAAGTAGCCCTGAAAAGGGGACTCTTGCAGTGTTGATGCAATCAAGAGAGACAAACCCAAATATTGTCCCGATCGACGATGAAGCGGTCCACCTGCCAGCCATGGGCGACCTGGTCGCAGTCCTAATACACAGAATTTGGCCTTATATTGGACTTATATGTGCAGATAATTGCTAAACAGGCAATGAAATAGGAGACAAGTTGACTGAAGAAACGGCAGAGAGAAACTTCGAAATGAAGGCTTTAAAGAAAGCCTTATGGTACTTGACTGGATTTTGTCCATGATAATAAAAGAATTGCACAGAATAGAAGGAGACTGAAAGTTGATTTAATGAATTCCCCCTGTGGGTATTGGGATCCCATTGTGGAGAAAACAAGAATAGAGCCAAAGCTGTTGACTAATTTTGGGCTTCCTTCAAAATCAGAGTGCATCTGCCCAAGCGGCACGGAAGAACCAAGTGCACACAGATATGGCAATCAAGTCAGTTACATGCAAAACAGCCCTGGCACAAAGCCAAAAGTCCAGATGGACGAACAGCCACTACTTTCTACTGGAGCTTTCAACGAGTGAACAAAGAAGAAGAAAAAGATTAAATTAATCAGTGCAGCAGGCGATTGCAAATGATAGTATGGCTTAGGTATGTGTTGACCTGAAATTCTCAGATCGGGAGGAAGACAAAAATAATTAACTATTTTTTTTCTTGCGGCATCTGTGGCTTAGGCGTTGCGAGTCCAACTCGTAACTCCAACGTACCGCAATCGAAACCCACTGCTGGCTGCGTGGATTTTTATCGTCATATGGGGCGTCGCAGGTCAACCCAGCCTAAAATGGATACCAGGATGGCTGTCCTGGGGAAGTAAAGACGGCCGGCGTAATGCTGACCACATTACCCACCCAGTGTTGATTGCTATGTAAAAATATGGGACGCTCTTCCCATATGCCCGATGCACCTAAGGCATGAAAAGGGATCTTTACTTTTACAAATTTTTTCTCAAACCAGAACGTGTCTTGAACTTACATATATATTATAGGCCAAAACTAAACCTTTTTTTTTTTAAACTGCAGAGCTGGGTTTTATAGACAATCACTGACCACAAAAATAGAGTAAAGGAAGATGCCTTTTAAGAACGTAAATCATTAGGAAGACGACACACTTCTGGCAGCAGTAAGTGACAAATCTTAGTTTTTGTCATAAATGGAAAACAGAAAATTGTGTGGCACCAGAAAAGCTCAAGAGGAAGACTGATAGGAAAAGAGCTTTAGCGAGCAATCACGTTCTCTTGAGATTAGAATTGGTTTTTTTCTTTTTCTTTTTGTCATTTGAGAAACACTATACACATTGACGGACATCACTGGTTCAGTAATTTAGTTAATTAATTTTTTTTTTTTTGGGGCCTGCAGAGAAAGACGTATATACGTAATTCTAAAGTCTTCCCTCTGGTGAAGCAAACTGGATGGAAACCAAACCCGCACACATATAGGAAAACTGTTGGCTCTATGGAAATCATCTGTGGTGCTTTCCTAGCATTTCTTCCAGGTAAGTGATATGTTCTAATGAATTAATTTAATTGGTGCACCAACATCCCGAATGGAAAAACATAAAAGCAAAACCACATCATGTGAGATAATATGTATAAGCAATGTGGCAGGAAAAACAAGAAAGACAGAGCCACCAGTGAAGAACTAAGAACAATTGGGGACACATTACCTTAAATGATTTCATAGAACAATCAAAGAATCAAATGGTTAAGTCATTTGGTCAGAAGGGAACAAAACCACCCACCAGCTAGATCGTAATACATGAGATCAGCAGGCTACAAGTCAAGAGGCCGACCAAGAAAGAGATTGGTGGAGGGAGTAAAAGAGAAATTCAGAACATTGTATGACATTAACACAAGCTACGCAACCAACAAAAGGTAGGAAATTATATATAACTCCTTTCTGTCACGCTTTATGTCTCAAGCACTTAGACAAAAGAAGAAGAAGAATATGCACTAGCAAGGTTGATTCCCTTAATTTCTGATTACCTCTGGCTATTTGGTTAGAGTCTGCTGACAGTGTAATGTCTAAAATCCATGGATGACTTCACTAACATATGCCTAATCCTAGCTAGTGCCATATGCTTGTTTCAGAAGCATGCTTTGTTCCAATTGCATTGGTGTTACCTTTGAAGTAAACAAGGCGAGGGGGTCATACTGCACTGACAGCATATGCTCTCTGTACAATACTGTCCAGGCTTTATGCTATGGGCGGGAGCAACTGCATCCCTGGCTATAATTTCAGCGCTAAGGGTTGCAATTCTCATGCTGTAGCACAGTATAACACAATCATCAAGTGTGCTTTGCTGAATCATGACCTGCTCACTAAGTGTGCGCCTCTCTGTAGACGTAAAGTCCCAGTCTTGCAAACCACACTGGATTTTGTTTTTGAAGAGAAGGATTGGTTTACAGCACAGTATGTGGAGATGGGAAACGTTGGGACTTGGTAACTAATGGTTTGCAGAAATCAGTTTTGTTGTGCTGAAAGGCTCAGCTATCACTGCCAAGCTGTAAATTACAACACAGCATACCAACCACCCTTGAAAGGGCAAATGCAGAAGAAGAAGAAGAAGAAGAAGAAAATATTCTGGCCATCTTATGTTTAAAGAAATTATGTCAGAAGCTAGAGATTGTAATCTGGCCGTCTTACTGTTGGGAGAAATTCTCTCACCGGCTAGAGATTGTAATGTGGCTCCTTTACGGATATAAACCACACAAAAAATTTCTGATAAGTTGGAGATTGTAATCTGGCCATTTTATAATTGGTAAAAATATCTAACAAATTAGAGATTGTAATCTTATCGTTTTATAATTGGTAAAAATCTCTCACAAAATAGAGATTATAGTCTGACCATCTTACTATGTAAAGAAAATCTGATCTCAGCGGGAGATGATGGCCAAACATCTTACCTATGAAATAAATGCTGTCATAAAAAGTAAAGTAAAGATCCCTTTCTACAACTCAAGTGCATCGGGCATATGGGAAGAGCACCCATATTTTTACAGACCATCGGCACTGGGTGGGTATTGTGGTCAGCATTTCGCCGGCCGTCTTTACTTCCCCAGGACATCCATCCTGGTACCCGTTTTAGGCTGGGTCGACCTGCGACGCCCCATACCATCATAAAAATCCACGCAGCAAGCAGGTTTCGATCGTGGTACGTTGGATTACGAGTTGGACCGCAATGCCTAAGCCACAGGCGCTGCAAATACTGTCATAAGCTGCAGATTATCAGGTCAACTTTTAGAGATTGTTATATACTGTTTAACTCAAATCAGTTATTGATAATTTCATTCTAGGCCCACTAAAGGAGGCTGCAAACATCTGCCTGCTCCTGTTAACGCTAAATGACATCTATGCTCATTATGCCCTCGATGAAGGGCTAGATAAAATGAGCCCGGCCATTGTATTTGCCCTGTTGCTTACCTGCCGGCTGGTCATCTTCCTTCAGAGCCTGGCAGCAGAGCCCAAGTCTGTGTTTGAGAACAGTCAGTTGGATTCACAAGCCGAGCCTGCTGTAGAAGACAGAAAGGATAAATAACAATAGCTGTAGGAGGAGAGTGAATCTTTTAAAGTGGGTAACTCTAGGCCAGGGCTATTCAACTAAGTTTACTCGGGTGCCAGCATTCTGAAAATGGGTGCTGACACTGGCCAGATGCCCAAAGTCCCAGCATATAAAGATCCCTAATACAGTACAACTGGCAGTGATCAGAGGACCACTTGTTAGGCTTCCGTGGGCCGCCAGTTGAATAGCCCTGCTCTAGGCCATATGAATGTTTCTTAGATGCATATTATATCTGTGTGTTGGAAGTAACAAATCGTTACTTTATTTCTTTGAATGTGAGCAGTGGTAGTTTGATGGTTAGTGTATTTGTTTATGAATATCATGGTCCAGGGTTCAGTCCCTCTGTTGGTTGGATTTGTTTTGCGACTAGATTTCTCTGTGGTTGTTTCATAACATGTGACAAGGAAAGTAAACATGGTATCTATAGTTGATACTGACCTATCATCAATAATGAAAATATTACATGATATCCTTTACTTTACTTCGTGTGTATCTTTTATCTGGAGTAGTGTATATTTAATGAAAATATTACATGATAGCCTTTATTTTACATGTTGTGTATTTTTTAAATGTGTCTTTTAGCTAAAGTAGTGTATGTGTGTAGGGGCGGTGGCCAAACAGTTAAGAACGCAGGGCTCTCATTTGGGAGAACAGGGTTTGAATCCATAGTAAAGATCAGGATTTTTTCTGTTTGATGCATAAATCGAATCTTAATGTGCACAGTCCACGGCGAAAGCAATAGCTGTGTCGTCCTTAATCAAAGATAGACCGGACAAATGGATAATACAGGCAGTAATGGCAGTTTGGCTATGTGAGAGTTAGGCTACATGAAACAAGACATATGGTGTCTCTCAAAGAAGTGGTAATTACAATGAAAATTCATCACCGGAACTTGGAGGAGATAGTAAACATTCTGTGGCCTTGTAATGTGATGAAAAAATATTGAAATAAGTACAGCTTTAGTGTATGAGTGTACCTATATGTGAGGTCAGGCTGGTCAGCCCCCCACCCGCCAAATTTGAGGCAAAATCCAGCATGCAAGCTTTAGAGACAAAAGTTCTTTGCATTACCCAACAGCATTTCAATAACTTTTAGATGGATTATGTCAGATCAACATATCTGAAGGAGGGCTTGAAGTAACAGATCATTCAGGATTCGAAAGGTATGATTGCTTATGCCAGTCGACTTGGCACTTGATGATGATGGACTGTAACATTATGGTCACAAGTAACTCTTGCTCTGCTGCAGACAAAAACAGAAAAGCAGTGTCACACATGTTTGCCCTTATTCTTCTTAAAGTCCATACTGTGTGACTTAGTCATGTCTGTCAACAATCTTATGTCTTATGTACTTTCAGTCAACTCTGAAACAGATGATCCTCCATGCCATGATGTCAAACTGTCCAGTATCTTTTCTCTTGATCTTCCTCTGCCTCTCTTTTCCTCCTGCTTTCCTTTTGTCACAATGTACTTTAGTTTTCTCCTTCTCATTACATGCCCACGGAAAGTAGATTGTCTCTTTCTGACGTGGGCAGTCAGTACTCTTCCCCAGTCAGTTTCTTTCCAGACATCTTCATTACTCTTTTTTTTATCTGTCCAGGGTATTCTCATCATTCATCTATAAAACCACATCTCTGTAGCTTTCCAATAATCTCTCACTGAACTTCAAACTGTGTCTGATTCACTTCCATATATCAGGATACGATTTATATAGCTTTTAAAAATTCTGTTTCTCGTCACAGCTGACAAAGAAAGATTGCATAAAATATTCTTCATTTTGTAAAACGCTGCCTTTGCTTGAGCTGTTCTACATTTAACTTCTTTTAATGATCTTCCATCTGATATTATCAGGGTACCCAAGTACTTAAACATATCAACTTGCTTTAGGTTTGTCCAATTTGCTTTTGCTGTATTTCCCAATTAACAAAGCCAAAAACAACATTTTGTTTTATAACTACAGCCTCAGAATGCCGAACTGGAACAAATTTAAAATTCCTTGCATTAGTTTTAATGAGAAAAGTAGTGTCACGATATGAGTTATTCACCATATGAGCCGTGGAGCAGATTAGATTTGTATCTTGAGGTTTCAACTGGAAAGATTAATGGAGAAAGGCACTGATGGAAGATACTTGACACCTATTATTGAAATATGTCAGCACATGAATTGATGCATGATGCTAGAAAATAGAGTCACCACATCCTCTAGAAATTAATAACTATGGATGTGTGAACGAGCTAGGGTAATGAATGAAAGTCTGTTCATAGTTTGACTTGCTGTTAAATTTTCTTGGTTGATTTCTGTTTTTATCATTCTTTATAAAGAAGATACGTCATAAAATTAATTACATCAGTGTTTGGGGGGGGGGGGGGGGGGGGTGGGGGGGGGGTGGGGGGGGGGGGGGGGGGGGGGGGGTCAGTAATCCTGCAATGAGAAAATTTTTACTTTGTCACATTTATTGTTTTCATGTAGGTTAGGCTAATACTGGCATAGCATCTTTGTATCAAGCCATCATTATAGTAATGTACATTTGACTGGTCAGTGTCTGTGAATGAGCTCTTTGTAATTCCGGGGTGCAGGGTTCGATCCCAGCTGCGGGCCTTGCATTGGTTTCAAAAGTGGTATCGAGAAGCCGACCGCCCAGAAAGCAAGTGGCAAACTACTTGACGTAAATTTGCCAAGAAAACCACATCAGCCAAAAAATGCTGGGGTTGGTTCTGCAATGTCCTGTAAGGGTACGCTACTGACTTTTTAAACTCTGGTTAGAAATGTGCACATTCCACTGCCTGTATTGAACATTCTGATGCTACTGATAATGTTTACTATTAATTGATGACTGAAATGATAGATAAATAGAGGGACTGTAAAGGAGACACAACTAACTTTACTTACATTTGACTGTGTAAAAGATAGAAATATGGGAGTTGTCTCCCATACATCGTTATGTTGAATCTATGCATAATGTTTGTATAGGACAGCATAAGGCAACCAAAAGCTGGGATTGGCTTCAGAAATCAGTTCTTTTTCTTATAGTCCATGCATTGGCGGTCATGTTTATCCACAGAATTCTTTCTCATGTACTTTTGGTGATTTTTGGCACTGATGATCTTCCATGCCACAGACTTCCGGTCTAAAATGGAGGGCTAGGCATGGCAGAATGTTATGCTTTGAAGTTACTTTAGCGCTTTGCTAATGTCGTTTCCACATATAGACATATATGGTTTTGCCGTCTGAGCTACTGAGTTTAGTGCTCAGTAGAGCCACTGTGTTGTTTTACTAGGCAATCTTATGTTCAATAATTTGTCATTGCTTTCTGAAAAGTATATCAAGGACACCCTGTAAAAGTTCTTTGGGCAGGATAGTTGGCTAGGGACAGGGTGGCTTTCTGGCATATCATAACGAGAGTGACGTTCTGTAAAGGACTTTCTACAGGACAATGGTGATGACAATGAGATAATGTGAAAGACTTAATGCTTCACATTCAGACAACAATAACTGCTTTGGGGCAACATGTACATATATATATATATATATATATATATATATATATATATAGATATATATATATATATATATATATATATATATATATATAGTACCATAGTGGCTAGGCTCATCTGCCGGCTAAGGAGTCTTAGGTTTAGATCCACATTGAGGCAGATTGATTTTCTTTTTCTTTTTTTTTTACTCACCTATTTCATCCGGACTAAAATGAGTACCAGGTAATAACTTAAGAAGCTGCAATAGCTGGGCTGATGTTGGCTACATCACCTACCGATTGCTGATTGGTCAATAAAAATCTGAGTCCGGCATCATGTACCTATTTTGCCACTCGTAGCAACAACACAAAAAATGGGATACTTTACATCAGGCTGATTGTAATACCAACGACCCACATAATTCCTAATCTGGCCCTGTGCGTATCTTGTATATTTTTGTAAATGTTCTAGTCAGGTTTGTCAAATGTTGATGAGTTTTTGTGTGTGGGTATGTTTGTGTAAGGCAGCAGACTTAGCCTATGTGATTTGATATGATATAGCCTATGTAAATCTCAGAAATGGGACAAGCAGGAGGAGGTTTGAGATTGTTTTCATTGATGTAGACATCCCCTTTGTGGGTACTGGGACTCCAGTGTGGGGGAAACACTGCCTTCCCAGCCGGGATGCGCTCCATCCCCATCTTCAGCAGCAAACGAAGAGTTGAAATTCCGTTGGTACCAGTAATTGTCTTATTGTATTTCCGTCTCGCCTTTCTCCTGAGTGTCGAGTGTCGGCCATATCCCCTTGTAACTTCTCGCAGTGCCATTCTTCTCAGACCGTAATGATCTATCTGTTCCTCAGCACTGTTCACTTGTTTCCCAAAGGGCCTTAACAACATCTAGTTTGTCATTCATCAGATCACCACCACTGGCATAACCTGGAGAAAATAACCAAAGGATGGTAACTATTCTGCAGGGAGAATGCGTGTCTCCACCTTTCTCAACATGCTTTATGAGTCGTTTACAATGATGGCATGTGTGTGCAGCAGATTCTCAAGCCAGCGGAAGGCAGCAGAGACTGCCTCCACCTCCATTCTCAAACAAGACGTTGTGACATCATATGCCAGGCTTTGTTGCACCAAGCGACGTCCATTCACCTTTTGATGTAAACCCCCATGCTCTTTGTCAGGCCCTCAATACAGAGTGATCTATATATAGACAATCACATCACCTGGGCGGGAAATTGTGAATCATTTGTTGAACTTCTGATTCTGCAGCACCGGCTGGCCGGTCCCTGCACTCACGTCCCAAAGTGATTAGAACCCTACATGTCTGAAACCTGAACGGACACTTTGACCCACTTCTCTCCTCGCCTAAATTTATCAAGCCTGCACACATGTCCAATTGTGTCTTCAGCTTGCGCCATCCAAGACTATCCTCTTTTCAGTCTGTGATGGCATGTTGTAAGAGTCAGCTAACTAAGGGCTTCCTTTGAAGTTAG